ATATATATATGTAAATATATAGATATTTATTTCTAATTATATGTATACGTACAAATTGTATTTATTTTTGTATTTATTTATTATCAGAAATCAATTTTACATTATACTTCAAGCTTTCTCCATTGCAACAAGTTTTCTTATCCAACAGATTCATGAATTAAGAACACAAGACTGGAAAAAGTAGTACTTCCTAATAGGATGTTGCAGAATAAAAACAAAACAAAATACTGGAATGTGAAGATTGCTCTACTGGTACTGCAGAAATCAATCTTTTACACTAGAGTAAATTAGGATTGTAGGAACAAAAAGTCCTATTTAACTTCTAAACTCTCTTGTCAGGAAATGAAAAATGCAAGAGGTGGATGTGACTGTATTGTCATTATTTTTCCTTAGAAGCTTAAAAAACTAAAAGATTACGATGATATATATTTTCTCCTACAGAAGCATTGTTATTCACTTTATGGAACACACATACCAAGGATCCTCAGATAAGACATTTAAAGTGCAATTTGTCACTATATTCAGACACTTAGTTATCTACATGGTATGTGTCTATATGCAAACTAGCAGTATGAGCTAAGTAGTATAGTCACGGGAGACCTAGTCAGTATAGTGTATGGAATGACTGCAAAAAGCTAGTCATTTCTCACACTCAAAACTATATGCCTACATTAGAACTATTTGCTCACTATGGAACATTGCTTTAGAGTCATCTGCTCGAGGACAGGTTTATTGGAAAACTTACACATGGCTCTCATGGTTGAGGCTTCAAGCACTCTATTTCCCTTTGTGATATTGTGAATCTTTTATTTTTTGTAACATATTGAATACTTGTTATTGATTATTGTAAACAATAAAATTACATATCTCTGTATGGTAGATTACCCTATTAAACAATGATCCTAGCCTTTAGGTTACAACTTAGCAGAATGTTTCTTTTAGGTCTATACTTATGTCTATTTGTCTATAAATATGTCTATATTTAGTTGACGAAGTCTTACTTTATCAAAAAGAATATTAAAAAATCCCTTCTAAACTGAGTAACTAAAATACTGGTTTCTTGCTGGCAAAGAATTAACAATTTCATTTAGTTTTCCCTGGCAACCTGAAGCTATTGCTCGTTCCTTTTCATCAGCTCAGAATTAGATGCTCCTTTCCATCAGTAGAAATGTGCCCCATTGATGTCTGCAAGAGACACTGAAGAACAGAGGCCTCACTTGTTTTAGGGGATTTATTGTGGCAATATTGTCTAACATTGTTCTTCCCTGCCTGTCTCTTTGTCAGAAGGCACTATTTAACACCTGCCTGGGGACACTTCCACTTAACATCAGCAGCTGCCCAAACTAATGTTTTTCACCTTGAAAGAAAACACACACTGATTTATCTCTAGGTCTCTTCTATCAGATAATAAAAAGAATTTGTCTGTACGATGCTTTATTTGGGTTTGCTGCTTCTGGATGGAAGCCTGCCCTTTATCAACATTTTCTACAGTCTCTCTTCACATTAGTAAAACTTGGAGAAGAAAACAGGTGTGTTCCACCAAAGCCGTGTTATCATCTCAGTTAGAAAGTTGTAAACAAAGTTCCAAACACAGAAAATAAAACAAATGTAAAAATGCATTTATTGCTTTTAAAATAAATTTTTAAAAAAGCAAAACAAATACAACTATCTTAAAGATATTTTTTTCTCTATCTTCTCAACTACCAGTTGTTGTCAGAAAAAAGCAATGATGTCACAAGTCTGTTTTTTTTTCTTTTCAGTGAAAATGAAGCTTCCATAGCCTAGCACTAGAAAAGGCTGACTAAAAATGAATTCATGCATATGCAAGATTGTTGCTTTAACTTATAAACATTCATTTATAGTATGTATATCTTATCAAATTCACCATCTCTAGTTTTTATTTTGGTCCTGCAGATGACATATTAAATGTGACATATTCAAGTTTGTTTTTCCTTTTTTTTTGGAGGTTTTATTCCTGCAAGTGTGTCCTCTATTTATCTTCATCTTGATTTTGTATGATTGTTAGCTCACAGATACTCTTGTAAAATGATACTGTTTCCCTAGATTCAGATCATTTGTTATTACTTGGAATTTTACAGATGGCTGAGAGCTGCATGCTCTCAGCATTCTGTTTCTGAAGAAATGGTGTATGCATAGTGCCCACTCTCCATAAATAAAGGAATAAAAGAACAAAAAACTGAGCACTCTAGAAGTTTGGGTTTGGCTTTATTTTGGCTTTTCATCTCTTTTCTTTGGCTTTTTTGCTGGTTCTTTCATTATGTACGTAAAAAAAATTGTAAAACAGCTGACCCTGGTTTTTGTGTTCCTTAGTCACCAGGCCACTTCCATGGATGTTTCACAAACATGCATGCAGCCTCTTCGAGAATTTTAACTATCATTAAAATTTAATTTTCACCCTCCTAAGCCTAAAAGGTAGGTATTTTCCACCTTTTTCCTCTTTTATTTTATTTTTTTTTTTCTGTGTCAGAAAATACAAAACACCACAGAGATCTGTGGGACTGAAGTCTGGACCCTTCTGGCACTTACACTCTAACAGATATTTCTTTCAAATGAATTTCAGTTTTCATGATAACTCCCTATTACTGCTCAAGACTGTATCTGAAGAAAAATATAGAGAGGGGAGAGGCCTGAATGTATAGTACAATAGAAGCTGGAATATGAACAACCAGAAATAACTGGAATTTACCAGAACTGGAGCAGAAACTTTGTCTTTCTGGGATTAGGTCTTGGGTTTAGTCATTACTTTGAATACAAGATTGAGATTTAAATTGAGGCTCAAATTCTTAACTCCTACACAGGTTAGCTTATAAAATATCATCTGACTTGAGATCTGCCCTGTGCAGTACAGCCAGGACAAATATTTGCTGATATTAAAATAGCTTTGTCACAGTGTTTCTTGATAAAAGTTCATTTACAGGTAGCACAGCTTGCTAATGAAATAAAAAAAAAAAAAAAAGGAGGGATATATATAAAAAAAAAAGCTTACGTATATACACATATATGTATTTATATGTACATATAGGTAGTAATACTTCAGATATATTTATATATAAACTATATGTACTTTTACAAAAGCATGCAGTTGATTATTAGAAGTGTAGAAGCGTGGATCAGTTTTCTTTATTGATATATTGCAATCTTAGTTATAGAGAAGTTACTAGAACTACTAGAAGGAGTTCCTGTAATGCTAGTATAACTAACTCATTTGCAAGCTAATTTCTGAATGAAAGCTCTCTAGGTGCTTAAAATCAAGAGCAGCCTACAGTGATAAGTAGCTTATAATCAATTGCAAGTTTGTGTGATGTACGCCAGTGGAGTAATTTACTCTCATAGATTCTTATGTAAGAGTGAAAACTCTCCTAATATTTTATCCTAGGGGCAAAGACCCAGCACTCTAGATGGTGCCCAGAGAAGGGAACAAAAATATCTCATAACTGTGACATGTCCTGAAATATATATTACAGATAACAAAAGTAAACTATCACACTATTTGAAACTGTACAAAGACTTCAGATGGAGACTACCATATGTATACCCAAGTCTCCTTAATAGTCAGGGGATTTCAAGTAACTCTTGGCTATAATGCCCCAATTCTCTAATTGCATTAGTCTTTAATTATCAAAGCAGTAACACAGAAGCTTTTGTGCTATTTTCTTGGAGTCAAGGACTTCATATTACTGTCATGATATCAGACTTAATCTACTGTAGAAATCAAAAAAAAATCTTCAATATAAGAAGCTGCAATGGAAATAGAATAGGATGGGGAAAATGACATATACATTAGAACTATATTCTGAAAAACTAACTGTTCACAGATAAGATGAATAGAATCATAATTTCTGCAGATGTCTACTTCATAGTCAATTACTGGTAATACTAAAATTTTAAAGCTTTCATTAAAATTGCAGGAAGTATCCGTGCCGTATTGGGAAACATTATTAGTATTCCTAGATACCTCTTTACACAAAATCTTACAGGGAGGTTGATTTCTTAACCTTCCTTATCATGTTCTTGAAGTATGGTACACAGCTTTCTCCACAGAAGGATTTACTATGGACTTATAATGCAGATACAATCAGTAACATATATAAGACCTTTACAAGAAAATCATTAAACCTATTCACATCACTGTCAAGATAGTATAAGTTCTTCCTAAAATATAAAATACAAATAATATAAATATCAGTCTTGCAGGAAGATATTACAAGATTAAGTAGGGTCATTTTGCAGTACTGAGACCCTTCATGTCACATCATTTTCTGTTTACATCTACTCTGAAATCTAAAGCCAGAATCTCAGTTTAAGTACTTCAAAATCACTCCAGTCAATAGGAACTCATCAACAGAGTGAATCACATCCTGTAGATTCAAGGAACCAAATAAGTGTCAGTAGTTGGCTTCTAATCTTGCAAGCAAATTTTTTTTACCCAGTCAATAACACCTAACCTGGAACACATTTACAGGATTGGATCTGTTCTTCAAAACCACAAAGTTTTAATTCAGTTAATATTTTATCTGTGTATTATACATGACAGGTTATGAAATCCTCTCCCTTATTTTAAGATTCTCGGCATTTCATGAACCTTCATTTTATAGCCTTTTGCTAGTGTAATCTTTGTACTACTAGCATCTCATTCTCTGAAGAATAGATGAATATATTTTAAACATTTATTATTATTATTATTTAGAAAATCAAGTGCTCTGAAAGGTAATTGCTTATTTTAGTTGAATATGTGGAAATCAGAAATAGAAACCTACTATATGAAAATGTTCAATAATTTATGAGATTTTTCTGTTTAGAAAATGAAATTTGATCTGTAAAAGTTGATAAAATATGTAACATCTTTGCTTAGATGGGGAAAAAGAGAACCAGACAAATGCTAGCAGTGTAGAGAAAGCTCCAGTGCATTAGAGCTTTCTTGTGCTGCTGTGGGTACTAAGATTAATGAACACAGAACAAATGGTTGACATATAACCTACCCATGGGAGTTCCAACGCCATAACCTTTTGAGTCTATGAGGCCTCCGATCTGTGTCAGGTTACAGTTCCGCTGTGTGACAAACTCAATGGTTGTCGACTCCATTAAAAATGCATAATCAGAGGTAAGCACACGCTGAATACCTTCTTCATTACTTTTGACAAGTACTGACTGCCTCCTGCTGCTCATGAAGGCCCACATCTTGTCGTAAGTGGAGATTTTCGATTTCTGAAAGATATATATTAGAGGTAATAGTAATAAAAATAATATGCTTTTAGGAAAGAAATCAAATTCTCAGTTGTACACTAATATTTTAGTACGTCACAGGTTTTACCAAGGGAGTCCTGTTAGGGTGGCTGCAGCTTTCATCTTTTCTGTAGAAAACAAAATAGCTAGATATATTCTTCAGAATTTGCATCATATTTTATTGGTTATAAAATTCTGTGATGAAGGCTTAGAATTATTTGAAGTCAATGGGAAGTTAGTAGAATTTCACCGTTGCCAAGTTCATCACCAATGTTTGTGAGTGTTACGGAAGAATCTGCTGGATTCTAGAACATTTGAAATTCTCACTTTGAATGATTTCTAATCATTCAGCTACTCTTGAGCAATTCTGAAAATTTAATCCACATTGTAGCAACTTGAAGTTATCAGGTATTCACAGATATGGAGGAAACAGCTGTGAAGGAGAGGACAGCAAACATTTTATCCATCATATAATGCAATGATACTTAGAGAAGGATTTTATCTAAAAGTAACATAGCCTGATCATAGAGATACTAGCTTTCCTGTCAAAAGCTGACTAGGTGAAAGTTTTTATATAAACTGAAGGCACTAGAGCAATGACATTTGTATATCATGTTTACCCCCATCCATTCAATAATGTTTCCAACTCAGATGAGTCAAAAATATACAGTAATATTAATCTTGCCTAGTAAAAAAAGTGTAGGAACAGAGCATGGAGGACTAGCATAATCAGACTTCTTAAGGAATCTTTCATCTATTAATCTTAGGCTTAAACATAACTTTGCTTTTAGCTCTGGGGAAGATACTAAACAAAGATTGACACTACAAACTGTTCTGAAGCTCAGCTGATTGGCAGCCCTAAATTCTGCCCCAGAGGAGAATTTGTAGCATATGTGGAATAAAAAGAGGAACAGGATGACTTTGTCCCTCTGCTGCGATACAATCTAAGACTTATTTCCCTCTGCCTGGGGACTTAGCAAACCAAATGTTTGAACTAACTGCATTTAACAAAACAGAAGACTTTTAGGACCATGCATGAACATACTGTTACTGTGTTGAACATGATATGTTACTAACTGAAAAAGACTTTAGTAATATTAAGGAAGAAAAATTTTTCTTCAGAATATGTTGAATATGATGAAATGATGAAATACACATAAAAATGTGTAGAAGAGAGGGGACCAAATAAATATGGATACCCTCCCCCCCCTGCCATAACCAAAAAAAAAAAAAAAAAAAGACTCTCTACTCATAGGTTTTGGCTTGAAAATCACATAATTTTTTCAAGCACTTAATATTGAGCCACAGAAAAAATTCTTTAAGCCCTATAGTTTGATTCCTTAGGAATTCAAATGACTATGCCATACTGAAATGATGGAAAACTAATTTTTGCAATACATGAAAACTTTGCCAAGCATCTCTATCATCATTTATTTATTTTTTTACCATACAATCTTTGCCCCAACAAACAAAATGGTAATTTTAGTGGGTGTTAAATAATTTGAACAATGTCAAAAACTGGCAGAGAAAATGATTTCTCATTTCTAGCATTGCTGGATAGATGCACTGCTAATGCATAAAGGGGAAAAAAAAAAAAAGAAGAAAAGCTAAAAGTGAGGTATAATACAACATAAAACAAGAATGAACTACATAAGGAATGAAGTATTTGTACACTTAGGTTGCAAAGATCATCCCAATGATGGAAATGCATTAGAAATGAGAATGTTTATTCTTTTTCATAGCATTGCTATATGTGAAATCCATGTGAAAAATACCTCTAAAGGACAGAGAGGATTCATACTGTGATGACTGATTTAATCAGCTACATTGGAGTGACAACTGCTATTGAACAAGATCAGTACTTGTGAGGGTAAAGGTCACAATCAAAATAAAAGAAAGAAAAGGCCTAGGACAGCATGCTTGCTGGAATAATTAAATATATTATTTATATATTATATAAATATATATATATTATTTATATTAAAAATAATATAACTTTAAATATGATTTGTTAGACTGTAGAAAACAAAGCAAAGCTTAGAAAAATAGTACACAGGGCCCTCAATTACCATAAAATAACAGGAAGCATGCAGTGACCCTGCACACTTTTCACATATAGGACAAATATTACAATGTTTTTGCACTGTTTTCTTCTATCCCTAAAAGATAAAGATCAGAACTGAAACTATGCCAAGGAAAATAGACCATGTACTTGTCACTGCTAAATCACTAAATTCTAAGATACAGTTTAACAATTCTTAGAAAAACATAATGTGTATTTGTTTTATGCAGAACAAGGATTTCTCTGAGGAAAAAAAAAATGAATTGGTGAAATACAGCCACAAATGATATATACATATATCTTTTACCTTTGGCAAAACACTGAGCAGACTCTAAAGACTAAAATCAGGAGGCCAGAACGATCAATAGAATCAGGAGCCTATTTGACACGTAAATGAAGAGGGTGACACTCCAGTACGTATATATTGCTTCTGGTAGTTTTGATTGTGTCATTCATACTGATAGAAGCAGATGCTGCAATTACATCATGTTTCCATCTTCTTTGTGTGCAAATCAATCCGGCTAATCAGCTTATATACTCCATCAATGAAATGTATTGTTTTATCTGGGTTAGTTCACCATGTTGTCTGATATAACTGGAAATCGCTGTCTGGAAAGCCAAACTAACTTGAAGTCAACTGGAAATGATGTCTGTATAAGATCACTTGTGATGACATGATTTATTACGCTTCTGTTTCCTCAGTAATGCTGAAGATAAGGAAGCTGCCTATGCTTTGTAAGATTTGAATTTCACTGGAGCACAAGAAAGCTAACTGGCTTGTCAGGATTGAAGAGGTTAAGCAAATCAAGAAGCTCATCTAGGGAGTGCATAAAATGGCATCTCTGACAGTGACATTCAGACGATGTCATCAGTGCCACGCTCAGCATTCATGAATTAAAGTTTACTAGGAAGTACCTGTGCATGTCAGAGATTATGGAAGGAAGCATTTCAAAGACTCTATATTAGTCTAGAGCAGTATATGTTTTTGAGGCCAGAAACAGGAGGGATCATTGTTGGTAATACATTGCTAATATGTATCCCGAAAGTACTGGCTAGAAAAGACAAATGTCTGAGCAGTGAGACTTTAGAGCACAAGGTTATAAAAATATCAAGATGTTCGATAAACACCAAAATAAACAAAGATCAAAGGACAAGGAAGCCAGTCTCATGATACAAGACAAGATGGGACAAATGCACACCAAAAAAAAAAAAAAAAAAAGTGTGCCAAGTAAATTCTGTTTTTTTTTTTTTTTTTCAAATACATTAATGGACAATTTTCTTTTACCAATATAATTCTACTTCTTTCCTGTCTGCTAAAGGCACTTGGGTGTCACAGGCAATGCCTCAGCTAAGCGTGCACACATGCAATATCTTAATTCAAAAGGGTTTGCAGTAACAAAAGAAAGACTGTAATTAAGGTTACAACCTGAATTTCTGAGGGGAAATATTAGAAAAAAAAATTAAGCTTAATTCTTATGCATATTTATTAAAAGTGACTAAGCCACACAGGAATCAAATCACAGCAATCTGTATTCAAAGAAAACAAATAAACAAACAAACAAAAACCCCAAAGACTCTCAAACCTAGTGTATACAGTGATAAATTGACTTTTATTTTACTGGCACTTCATTCTGAGCAGACATAAGTCTCTTTTCATGAAGAGTCTTGATTCTTTTTTTTTTCTTTCTTTTTAAGGCTAAAGGAACAATTCTTCCCATTTATTCTGACCTCCTATAAAACACAGACTATCAAATCTCAATTTTATATTCCTTCACCAAGCTCAGGACCTATGTGTTTGCACTGGCAAGAAGAATGACACACAAATAGTATACTCATAGTATAGTATATCCATCTATACTGGCCTTTTAGCAAAGTGCTTGACATTTTGAAAGACTGACAGTCTCCTACAACCTAGTCTTCCACAACCAAGTGGCTGGTTGTCACTTCCACAACCAGTGACAAACTGATAAGATATGGCCTGGAAAAATGGATCACCTGTAGGCAAAGTGTCTATGGAGACAAGCAGGAAGGGTGGTGGTGAATAGCTCAAAGTCAAATTGGAAACCGATCATGAAACAAGTTCCTGGGGTCAATACTGGATCCAGTAGTATTCAAAATCTATATAAACAATTTCACAGGATAATGGGATTGTATGTGCCCTTACCAAAACATCTACAAATGACACCAAGTAGGAGGAGAGGTAGTTAGGGTAGAAGAAAGAGCTACCATACCAGACCTCTACAGGTCAGAAGATTAGGCTAGCAAAAATTGCATTAGGTTTATCAAAGATAAATGCAAACTCTTCCACCTAGTACAGAGTAATCCCAAGCATCAGTACTGGGGACCAGCATCAGGCTGGGAACTAACTGCAAAGAGTGTACCTTGGCATAAAAGGATACAATTGGACAGCAAGCTTAGATTATGTCACGAGTGTGTCCTCATGGCAATGAAAGCAAACGTTATTCTGGACTCCATCAGCAAGACTACAGCTATCAGAACAAGGTATGTGACTATTCTACTCTATTTGGCACGCATTAGACCACACCAGGAATACCATGTCCATTTTTGATTCTATCAGTTCAAGGGAGACACTGAAAAAATACAGAGGGTCCAGTAGAGGGTAACCATGGTGACCTGAATGTTGGAGAACCTTACTTAGAAAGAAAGGTTGAAGGACATGGAGCTGTGCAACCTATAGAAGGGAAGACTCAGCAGGATCTATCCAGTCTTCCAGTACCTAACAAGAAGGTTAAAAGAAGACTAAGGCACTCTCTCTTCACTAGGATGCATGCTTACAGGGCAAAAAATAATGGCACAAGTTACAGAAGGGAAATTCTGTCTGCATATAAGAAAAAAATCTTCACCCTAACAAAATTAAGCATTGCAAGTGTTGCCCTGATAAGTGATGGAATCTGCCTT